ACCTGGGAGCGCGGCCGGGACGGCAGGGCCAGGTCGCGAAGGACCGGGCGGGCGGGCGGGACGAGCCAGGCGGGGGCGGGGGGCGGGGCCAGCCCCGGGGGCGGAGTCCCGGCCTCACCTGGTTCACCTTCTTAAAGGGACAGTAGGGAAGGAAGGAAGGAAACTTGTTAGACAGGTAATAAACTTCACACACCGGAGGCGTCTTGACCCGAATGAGACTGCCGGCGCCGCCTAGTGGGTGGAACTAGGAATTGACTAATCCTTTCCCAATTCGGATCCTCGACCCAACCCAGTCTTGATCCAGCTTTTAACCTAATTCTACCTTTGACTCGAACCACACCCTTATATTCCTTTCGCTCCCTTCTGCAGGCCCCAGAACTGTAGTAGACACCCGGAAAGGCAGGGGTAAGAGACGTGTCTTCATGCCTTAGTAGGAAAGGCTTAGATTACCACAATGGGAGGCGGGTACAACTCTTAAGGAAGCACCTGGGAGGTTAGAAGAGGAAGCAAGCCCAGCCAGCCCGGCACGTTAGGTGAGTTGTCAGGGAGAAGATGGTGTGACCTGGGTTTTCAGTGGCAGAGATTGGGAAAGGCGTGAGCAAGGCCTGAAGGCAGGGAGCCCCCAAGGTGCACTCAGAGTGGTGAATGGACCAGTTTGACTACTGGGGTGCAGGATTTGTCTTGGGAGCCAGGGCAGAAAGGCAAGTGCAGGCCAGAGCAGGGAAGGTCTTGATAAACATGTGAAGGGGGTTGAACCTTGCCATGCACTTACAGAGAGACACGAGGGATGATGTTTCCGGCTCAGGTGGCAGAGGATATTTTAACTCTATCTAGTAGTGTCGAGCCATGTGCCTTCCTATCCTCTCGTAGATTGCCTTACTTTCTTTCTTTCTTTTTTTCTTTTTTTTTTTGAGTTGGAGTCTCACTCTCTCTCAGACTGGAATGCAGTGGCCGCTCCCGGCCACTGCAGCCTCGAGCCACTGGGCTCCGGTGATCCTTCCGCCTCAGCCTTCCAAGTAGCTGGAACTAGATGAGGTCTCGCCAAGTTGCCCAGGCGGGTCTCGAGCCCGCAGGCGCAGGCAATCCACTCACCTCAGCCTCCCAAGGCGCGGGATTACAGGCTGAGCCACCGAGCCCGGCTGCCTTATTTTCTATTTAATAAGTGTTTATTCCATTTCTGATATGTATGCATTATGCTCTGAAAGCACCGAAGAAGAGTAAGACAATCCCAGCCCGATGCAAGCCATTAGTCTGGGGAATGCTGGGGGCCCTGGAATAAAGGAGCACACACAGCAATGACTGGCAGAAGCAGACCTCAACCAAGGTGCACCCAGGGGCCGCAGTGGCTCAAAGGGGAGTGATGCATTTGCTGAAGAACAGGCTGGAGGCTCCACTCCTGGCCTCTCCTCCCTGCACCCCTCCCTGGCTCCATCCCATTGGGGTGAATCATTCACAGTTGTTCTGTCATTTAAATGACTGCCTGTTTGGGTCACTGTGGGAAAGAGAGGTTGTGAATTATAGGTGTTTTTTTGTTTTGAAAAATTAATGTTTCTGGGTCCCCCTCCCATTTTTAAATATAAATAAGTAAATGACAAACACGGCTCATAATTTTTTGGCTTAGACTATTCCTGTTGGCATAAATACATGTAATCCATGTTAGAAAATTCATGTTGAGCAGACAGAAACAAAATGGAAAGTAGAACCCTTTCTCCTCCAACCCTCCAATTTCTGTTAACCACCATTAACTGTTTCTTGTGATTCCCCCAAGATTGTCTTCCCTTGTGTTTATTTTCCCCTCCCTCTCCCTCTACTCCACACACACACCTTAAAAATATGTATACAGTAGGCTGTGGCCTGTGACAGACAGGCTGTGCACCAGGGGCCTCTTTTCTAATGTTAAAGACTTTGGGAAGGAGGAGGAGGCTCCCGCTGGCTCGACGGGGTCACGGCTTTGTGATTTCAGCAGGGAGGAATGGGCAAAGGGTGCAAAGCCAACAGAAGGGGGGAAATGGAGCAAGCTTTGGACAATTGCTGCTGGGAAATAGGCCAGACCGTGGTGAGGTAATGCATGTGCTCGTTGCTGTAGTTTGTTAAAGTTACAAGACCCTTGGGACTCAAGGGAGTTGGGGGTGGGGGAGGCGGGAGGCTGCTCCATGCAGTGAGAGGTGGAGTCTAGAGCCCTGGAGAGAACTCTTGCTCCTGTTTAAGGCTTGATTCTCTATCCTGGTCAGAAAGTCTCACAAGTGGGAATGAACACCCACTTTCTGTGTCTATTCAGGACATTTCCTTCCCATGTTTGTCGTGAGAGGAGGCATGTCTTTGATTTGGGGCTCTGTTCTTACTAGCAGCACAACTTCTGTCAAGTTATCAACACTCTATGGATCTCAGTTTCCATAGACCTAGATGACCTCTTAGATCACCCATTTCTAGGGTGGTCTTGGACAGTGGAAAGATATCAGGATTCTGAGTTAGAAGTCTTCAACTGGTTTCTTTAGACATTCTGTGTCTCTGTTTCTTAGCTATAAAATGGGATTAATCATATCATAGAATGGGTATAATGATCAAAAGAGGAGAAAGTGCTTCATTACATGTAAAGTCCTGAGCAAATGTTATTTGCTAAAACAATGGTGGCAGTTAGGACTGGCTGAAGTTCTGCAGGCTCCCAGCGGAACAGCCTTTAAGACTAAGACATTATTTTTTTTCCTTTCAAAATCAACTTTATTGAGTGATAACTTGCATTAAAAAAAACTGCTGTCATTCCAAGTACACAGTTCAACGAACTCTGACAAGTGCATATGCCCTTGTAACCACCACCTCACTCAAGAGACAGAGCACTTTCACAACTAAAAAAATGTTTCTGGGTGCTCCTTTAATCAATCCCACACCCACCCCCAGTCTTTGGCCTTTTGTCGGTGTAGGTAAGTTTGCCCTTTCCAGAATTTCCTGGAGTCCCTGGAGTCTGGCTTTTTCCCTTTAGGGTGATGCTCCCTAGATCCACCCCCGTCATTGCAAGCATCAGCTGTTTCTCCTTTTCATTGCTGAGCACTATTCCCTGTAGAGATGTTCTGAGACATCATTTAGCTCTACAAAATCAAACCCCCGAATTCTTCCTCTGCTTTGGTCTCCCAGGAGCCATAGGCCTGTTTGCTGACAGGGCCTCCCAGAGGATGACACTTCCCTTAATCTGTCTGGCCCATTCTCACTCTGTAGTAGGAAGAAAAGTCTCTTAGGCTCTGGCTTGTTCTGGCAGCTAGACTTTAACACTATCCTTTTCATACTGCCCCTTTTTATCCACTGCCTGGATCTTTTCTGACCTGGCATAAGGTGAAATTACACTGAACGTAGGCATGGTCTTATATATCCATAAAGCTGGTTAAAATGCAATTTACATCACCAGGAGGACAACCCAGTAAGCTGCTAGCAACCACTATGAGAGCATTAGTGCAAAATCATTAATCAGACTAGTATCAGGTCCACTAGTAAGGGCTTTAGTCTCATGGGTGGGACCAAAACAGCTTTGTTGGCTGTGTTGGGCCAGCCTGCACTTGTAGGCAGTGAGATCCACAAGACTGTGTGGGCAGAAGGAAGGGAAGAAACAGCTCTCTGCAGTTGCATTCTGGAGGATTCTGCATGTCTTTGATCGCAAGCCTAGCGTGGTCCTTCCCTTTCCTTCTCGCCTGTGCGCTTACCTATCTGTTCTCTGATCCTGGTTTACCATCAGGCAGCAAGGGTGGGGATAATGATAGTTACCATTTATGACCACACCTAAGCATGCTGCTGGGGCACTTTACATACATTGTTTCATTTACTTCTCACAGCAACCTTCTGAGGAAGGTATTATTAGTTCCATTTTATAGGTGGAAAAATCCAAACACAGGGAGTTGTCAAAGTCAGTTGCAGAATCTGGATTTGAACCCAGTTCTGTCCGACTCCCTGTCCTGTGAGCCTAACTCTTCTTCCCCGTTTCAAGAAGCAAATGTGTTAGGGAACAGCTTATCTTTTGTTTGACTACCCCTCCTCCACCCCACCCGAGGGTAACAAATAA